TTTATTACTAGAGCTAAAATAATAAAGCAATGAGGAGGGGGAAGTAATAAATATGAAATAATGTATTTATGATGATTCCATTTGTTTCACTATCCACTCTGTGCAGGGAGAAAGCTTATTACATTTTTAAACTGTAGAGATACAATAATTTTACTGCTGTAAATTCCAAATTTTGTCTTATTTAAAATAGAAATCTAATATAATCTGCTTCTTAATGTATGTTCTTTAAAATACAGCTTGTGTTTTTTAATATATTATAATTATAATAATTATTATGTGGACATGCATATTAGATCGTTTTTTAGTGAAATATAATCCCTCCAGAATGGCAGGAAAAGCCCGGAAAATTACTTTAAAACTAAATATGTTTCTAAATACTTTAAAACTAAATATGTTCCCTAAAACGGTGGACAGAGCTACAGACCCATGACAGCCTTACCCAGTTAGCCAGCAGCTATGACCAGCACTACTTGTGCAGTTAATAAAAGGACAGGTAATGTTTGTCGCGCTGTTGCACACACAGCACGCTCGTTTGTTTCAGTTCGTCAGTTGCCACAAGACAGCTTACCAACGTGTACGTAATAAGCTAATACTCCTGGGTGCTATACACTACAGTTTACGCTGTACACCTACTTACTGGTTTTGTCGCATCAGTCTGTGTCTCTGAGTTAACTTGTGTTTCTCCTACAGCTCCGGACCGCTAAAAATGCACGTGCTCTTTGTGAGCTCGTTCCCGGCTCGTAACCAGCGCGTTCTGCCGTCAAGGGCGATCATTGGTTAAATGTGATCATGTGACTGATGCAAGCCAGATCCTTTTATTTAGCAAAACTGTGATTAATAGTTAAATATTATTGTTGAGGGGCACAGACAGGACTCCGCACGCACGCACACACACATAAAAAAATATATATATATATATTTTTTTAAAAAGTTGCCTCAACAAAAGGGCACTTTGGGCACCCATCAGGAAAGGGGCGGGTGCTCAAGCCCCTCTGTCCCTGCTTGGGACTTATCTTTGGTGCTGGAGGCCCTTTGTTTGAACCCATTGAGTCTGTGGATATTAAATTTCTTTCATATAAGACTGCATTACTTCTCGCTTTGGCTTCGGCAAGGCGAGTGGGTGACCTTCATGCGCTGTCTGTGCATCCCTCCTGCACACAGTTCTCTCCTGATGGCCACAAGGTCGTATTGCGTTCAAATGCTACCTATTTTCCCAAGATCATGCCTGCATCTTATAGCTCTTAGTTTGAGTTGCTGAGCTTTTGCTCCCCTCCTTTTGCATCTGAGAAGCAGAAGAGGATGCATTCTCTTTGTCCAGTGCGTGTGCTACGCACCTACATTGAGCGCACTCAGAATGTGCGTTTATGTGGCCAGCTGTTTGTCTGCTTCGCTAATCCAAATAGAGGTAGAGGTCTGTCTAAACAGAGGCTGTCCCACTGGATTATAGAAGCTATCTCACTGGCATATGGCACCAGAGGTCTTGCTTTGCCCCAGGGGGTGAGAGCTCATTCCACTTCTGGATGACAACCTCATGGGCTCTTTTTAAAGAGGTGCCTGTAGCTGATATTTGTGCGGCAGCTAGTTGGGCATCACCGCACACTTTTGTGCGGTTTTATCGGTTGGACGTTACAGCCCCTTCGGTGGCTCATACTGTTCTTTCTGCTGGGTCTACCGCTCACTAAGGATGTCTTGGTCTGATTCCGGTTCGGTAGCTGCTCTGTGGGGCGTGTATATATGTCCCATACTTATGTGTTGTACCGAGTGAATCGACTGAAAGGGACGAATAGTTATGTCTATAATTTCTGTTCCCTGAAGAAGAGGAACGAGGTACAACACAAGGTGGCCCCACTGAGCAGTTTGGCTCAGTGAAGAGCGGCTATTGAACTGAGGGATGACTGTGATGACAGCGGCTATATGTGCAGGTGGGGCCATGCGCGTCATCTGCCTTAAAGGTGTGAATAAAGATTTCCTCAGCCAGGACACGCAAGGGCGTGATATCCCATACTTATGTGTTGTACCTTGTTCCTCTCCTTCAGGGAACAGAAGTTATAGACATAACTATTAGTTGTGTAGAACAGGTCCTCGGGATATTCACCTTTTGAAAATGATTTTGATGGGAGTTAGGGTCTTGGATTTAGAAGCAATTGTTCAACAGGTGCACCGAGGCAGATTTGACAGGGTTTTGCCACAGAGTAGTTGTATATCAGTAGTTAGTCCTGGACAACTGGATCAAGCATTCTGATTGGCCCATGAAATTCAGGCTTCTGTTTGATTGGTGGATTTGTTTTTAGCAGATAGGGGGTTCAAACCTGGGCATTTGGAGTCAGTTGATGACTTTAAGAATCATCCTTTCTGACTGGATCATTAAAACTTACAGCATTGATCTTTCTGTAGTGAGTTCTCCCACATTTCAGTGATTTGGTGATTAAAAGAATATGAACTTTTAATATTCATTCAGATGCTTTGTGACTCAAAACTGCTTTCAAACTTCTTCTGTGTTAACATCAGCCTTTAGCAGTTCTGCACTTTTGTTTTCAGGTGAATAATTCTGTATTTTTCATCTCATTAAACATTTTTTTACTTAAATTCAGCATTTATTTCATTTCAGCTCAAAACATTCAGCTATCAGCAATCACACTGCAGTTTCTTCAGAAAATGGATTTTCTAGTTTTCATTAGCAATTTAGCAACATTGATGGTGGTGGTGGATGTGTCTATGTGTGAGTGAAAGGGAGAGCGAGAGACAGATTTTGTGTTATAACTTTCGTGTTAGACACACGCAAGTGTGAGCACTCGGGCCGTATAGTGTGAGACCCTGCATTGTTCTCTATGAACTTCTAACCCCTGAGAGTCAATCATACAGTTTGAGCAGGAGCTGAATAACGCGATTGAAAAAATCGCACAGTGTATGCCCAGCTTAAGGTAAAAAGAACTGATCCTAGCACTGAACCCTGTTGAACACCATAATTAACCTTAGTGTGTGAAGAGGACTCTCCATTTACAAAAAATAGGACTGTTAAATAACACAGACCACTGTCCACTGTCTGAGGCCATAAGAAGATTGTAACCTTGACTAATGCTTTTTCTGGACTGTACAGTACTGTTTCTGTACAGAAGAGAATGTTTAACAATCTAGTGTTTTACTCTTTGCTGCAGTTGTACATTCTATTCTGTCTTTTAATTTTTGTTTAAAACTTTTTTTGCTAATTTGTGCTTTGTTTTGGTGGTCTGGGAGGTGACACAGGCTACTTCCACACTAATGCGTTTTTGTTTGAAAACGCATAGTTTTCTCTCCGTTTTGGCCTCCCGTCCACACTGAGACAACGTTTTCACTCATGGAAAGTGCTCTATAAAATGCATACATTTGAAAACGTTGCTTTCGTGTCGCAGTGTGGACGCAGACTTTATAAAACGATGACGCATGTCAGTCATATGATGCAGTCATGTGTCCAATTAAACAGAGAAAGCGGAGGGCATTATACAGCAGTTGTTTTGTTTGCTCTCAATTTTGACAGCCCTATTAAAGATTGATATCAGTCTGTACATGCTCCAGATAGCTTTTCTTAAAATTCTTTAATTCTCACTCGCTTTTGCAACTTTGTACTTTTGTGTTACTCGCAGCAACAACTCCTCCTCATTGTTAGTCCATTTAAAAAACTCGGTGGTTTTCCTGTGGGACTGTGTTCCTTGTTCCTGTGTTTCTTGTTCCTTGCGACTGTGGACGTAGCCACAGTCCCAAGGGGATGGGGTTTTGGAGGGATAATAGTCCCATAATAGTCAAACACAAAGGGGCCCGGAGGTAATCCCTGATGAAACCCTACCCCCACCTTGAATCTTTCATTTCTACGTGTGAATTTCAAATTTTTTCTAATTTATACCATTGAGACCTGCTCTTAAAAACTAACATAGATGTAGCACTGTTTTTGTAGATGTTTTAAGAAATATGTGCGCAAAGTTTTTAGAACATGTTTAATTTAGTGGCATCTTGTACAGAACGTGATTTCGCCAAGATGCGATTAGTAGAATCAGTTAGCTAACTGAATTAGTTTCTGTTAGCTAACTAGCATCAGACCCAGTTCTTCATTGTCTGACTAGCTACACTGACATGGGAAAATCCACCTGTTAGCCTTAAGGTTCAGGTTTGTAAAAAACGTTTTGAATAAGGACAATGTGGAAGACAGCCCGTTTGATTCAGGTGACAGGTGGTTTACCGGGCCAACAAGCTAGAGTCAAAAACTCTTATTTTCCTCATCTAGCAGGGTGTTCAAAGCAGCACAATCAGGTGATGCGATAAGTGGTATTTTATGGAATAAAACAATCTTTCTTTTCCCAAGCAGATCCAAACAGTTTACACTAGTGATTAATACATTCACATCACATCACAAACATAACTGTGTTTTTTTTTTTACTGAAGCAAAATCAGGAAATACATCAGCATATCTGCAGGAAAAATTGGTTAATATGTGTGGTAGGCGGAATTTCTGTTTCACTGCAACTAGCCAGACAACAGAGAGCCACTGAATGCTTAACAGTCAGAGAAAAGTGAATAGTGTATCCTTAGTTTTAACTTAAAATTCATGGTTGCAGCAAAGGGCAGCACAAAAGTGATCCACTTAAACTGATTTTTAGTTTTAGTGTCCTTTATTTACCCTGAGTTATTGTTTTTGTTAGTAGTTAGCTAACACAAACAGTGTCAGTCTATTACTAGCAACTAACCAACCCGGTGATGTCACATGTTTTAAAACCTTTAAGCACGTATTTCTTGAGTCCAGAGTTATAGTTATGTCAGTTTTTGAGAACAGGATATGTTATAAATTAGCCTTTCTACATGTATTGTCCACTTTCCTTCCATCTGTATCAAGATTTTCATATTTTAAGCACTATGGGGTATAGTCTCCATATAATGGACATAGAAGGAATGCATTAGCCTGACACACTAAGCTAATCGTTATTCGTCACCTTAAAATGTGCCTTAACGTCTCATTTGCCCTTCTCTTGTAGTTCTATGGAGCTCCAGAGTTCTATGAAGTAATGCTAAAGAACCTCAACATAGTGTTCACCACTCTCTTCTCTCTGGAATGTATTCTCAAGATCATTGCTTTTGGGCCATTGGTGGGTAGTCATTATAAAGCAACTCTAAATACTCTTAAAGGTAAAGCACAGCTCCTGATTTTATTTTTTGTTTTTTTGCTTTTTTTCTTCAGAACTACCTAAAGGATGCTTGGAACGTGTTTGACTTTGTGACAGTGTTGGGAAGCATTACTGACATCCTGGTGACGGAAATCAATGTAAGAGCACTTTTTCCCACCCACCTCACTCTCACTTAAATATTTCATGGGATACATAAAAACACTGCAGTTTAGAAAATTAACTGGGGCTTAGCAAGCAAGCTAACTAGCCAGTGGTCAGTCACATGGCAGAGTCGTGACAGAGGCTATATAGCTGGGGAAAAGGAAAGGATTTGAGGTATTAATGTTTTGATACGATGCAATAATTACAGGACAGGTGTTTTTCTGAATCCACATTAGAGAGTAACCTTCAATGTGTGATATTTGGCTGAGTTATATTTTACAGTGTTTTTGCATATTTTGTGGGTAGTTTCTTTATTTATTCCAGACTTTTCAGTCTACTATAAGTATATCTTTATTATACTATACTATAAGTATATCTCTGTACACATGTGTGTATATGTATCTGCATACGATTATTTGCTGATTGTTATCAGTTTATGCTGTACAATATGACTGTTTGTGTTCTCTTGCCTCTCTTTCCCAACTCTTTCTGTCATTCTACACATTTGTTGTTGATTGTCGTCAATGGTGTTGGCATGCCATGGTCCAAAAACATCACTAGACTACGGTGAGTAGGTTTCTGTAAATAAAACTGTCCTATGATAAAAACATTTTCATGCTGGTGATGTAGGGAAAAGAAACCCTATAAACCTGCAGTTTACATCTTGCTAGCAGTCTAATGAACTTCTAGCAAGATTTAAACTGCATCTTAAGTCAGTAAACTTTATTTTACCCACAATATTTTTTGGATTGTCTTTAGACTTCACAAAAACATATTAGGGGACATCAGTACTTGATAGCCATGGTATCCAGGCTAAGAACATGTAACATACTTTAAATAAATAGTTTTAAATAAATAAACACTGTAAAATTCAAGTTTTTGCAATATGTGTATATATATCCACACACACACACACACACATCCATTGAATGTCTCCCTAATTCTGAGTTCTCAAGGTTGGCAAGTATGGGGAATCACCCCATACTTGCTTAATTGGCGCAATTAAATTAACTTTAATGCACATGTAAAAAAAACAAAACCAAAAAACACAGAAATCAATTATTTTTATACAATAATTTAATAGATTCAACATCTTTCTTCAACAGAATTGCAGACTGCACAGATGGTACCCTACCAAAGGAAAAAGTACTATAGCTTACTAGGGTATATATTAGACTTACATTAGCTACATAGAAAAGGATCCTGTTGTAGAAAGTAATATTAAATAAATTCTAACAATTCTAACAACAGCTTATCAAGCTTAAACGTGCTGCTGTTGTTCAGCCCCTGGTTTCCTCTTTCTGGTGCAAAGTGGGCCAAAAACAAACAAGAGAGACGGGAGTCGCGAAAGAAAAACTGATCAGCTGATCATTGATCAGTTTCATGATTGAAGTAGCAACAGGAGAGGGAGGGAGAGAGAAGAGGCGCATACTGCTCCCTAAGGTTATGAGCTGAGTTATGCCATGTCTCTCATTTTGTGAGGTGCTTTTGTGATATTTAATGGATGTGATTACATTTTTTTATTTCTCTCCGATATCCAATTCAGGAATTTAGGTCAGTATCGGACCGATACGTAATATCGGATCGGTCCATCCCTAGTCGTTGATGGTCATGATAATTGCGTATTAATGATCAAGAAACTGATCCCATGAGAAAAAATATTTTCTGCTTCAAATTGATGTCATTTAGGTATCTAAAAATCTTAGACAGGTTTGAATCTCAGTGAAAATGTCGTGAATGTGATAAATAAAAAGGACGTTACCTCGGATTTTTGAATTGATAACATCGGTGGATCTACTAAATACCTTGGACAAGTTTGACTCTGGGTGGCTGTAGCTCCGGTGGTAGAGGAGGTCACCTACAAACTGGAAAATTTGCGGTTCAATCCCAGTCTGCATGCCAAATGTCGTTGGTCAAGATACTAACCCCATGTTGCTCTCCAATGCATCCATTGGAGTATGAATGCCTGTGAATGTTAGATAGTAAGCAATAAGAACCAGCTTAGAAAAAAGTGCTTGGGTGAATGTACAAGTTGTATAAAGTACTTTGAGTGCTCAGAGTAGAAAAGCGCTAAATAAGAACCAGTCAATTTACCATTCACTCCCGGTGACCTTAACCTCAAGATCAGAGAAAGTTTTCTGAAAATCTTGTGAATGTAATAACTTGAGAACAAGGTCACATAAGATTTCAAAATTGGTACCATAGGTGTGTTTACTAGGAGGCTTCCTTTGCTCCTTTGTCAACCAGTCTGTGCACTGTTGTCTAAGGTTATGAGTAAATGGAGCCATCTGGAAAACCTTTGTGCCCCCTTTTAGTGATAATTCTTAAAGCACTGTGATGAACAGCATTTAGCGAAATTGAATGTATTGACCTTGTATGCTTTTGCCACATGTGATTGTTTGTAACCAGCTGACTTCCATAAGTGTGTTTAACATTGAGCAATGATATTTGGTGGGTAAGTGCTCCCTATCTTATCTGTGTCTAACAGGACAGGCTGCTCAACCTGAGCTTTCTGAGGCTCTTTAGAGCTGCTCGACTCATAAAGCTGCTGAGGCAGGGATACACCATCCGCATTTTGCTGTGGACCTTTGTTCAGTCTTTTAAGGTGCTCATAAACAGTACAATGCTTACACATTCTTGACTAGCCCTGATATTCACATTTTCTGTACACTTCCAAAGCCACATACAGCAATTTCCTGCACACACTTCTACACTGCCTAGAAGAACTCAGAGTGGGTATTTAAAATGAAATACGTTTTGTTTCCTGTTGTTGCCTTTAGGCCCTGCCTTATGTTTGTCTACTGATTGCCATGCTGTTCTTTATCTACGCCATCATTGGAATGCAGGTGTGTGATGCTACTCGGTCAGAGAATGTGATATTCATGCAGTAATTTACCATTACAATATTGTGGCCTGAATCCATGTTTCTGCTCTAGGTGTTTGGCAACATTGAGCTGAATGAGGATACAGCTATAAATCACCACAACAACTTCCGCACATTCCTTCAGGCTCTCATGCTACTGTTCAGGTATACATAACTTAAATATATACATTGGTCCATGAGCACATTAAGCAAAGAGTTTTATCACTCAGTTGTAAATGCTGATCGGGTTTGCTGTCATCTCACCAGGCAGTTTGTCAATGTGATAGTGCCTGAAGATGGCTGTTCAATGATTGTCATTCACAGTGGACATAGATGGCCTATTTTACTTGTTTTCAAACCATCTGTCCTCTGGGTCCAAAGTATGAACATTGGTAGTGTCCTTTATCCTTTAGCTCCAGATGTACAGCTGAGTCTTGTTGTGTCGAGGGGGCTCTTATATGTTGACGCCATCCATTTATGGAGCTTCAGGGTGCTGGACTTGGACTGAAACCCTCCATGAATGATCAGGAGCTTCCTTGTCTTGATGTCAGTGGCCTTCTATGTCCTCCTTTCCCCAGCTTATTGTCCCAGCAGGGTTAATCATGGGCAGGGCGTAAGTGTTGATACCCCAGATCTTGTTCTTACCGTTCAGCTGACTCATCAGGACTTGCCTGACCCTCTGCAAGTACTTGGTGGTTGCAGCTTTGCCAGCAGCCTCGTCATGGTTTCCATTTTCCTGTGGGATCCCCAGGTATTTGTAGTGGTCCTTTATGTCTGCATTGTTGCCTAGTTCGATCCCCCTTACTTCTGACTACCTTCCCTCTCTTTGTTATTGTTGGGTCTGTGTTTCCACAAGCCCCGCTAGTTTAGAGACTTATTCATCATGAAGAACACAAGACAATCAATTTACTTGCAAGGGAGGCCTCGTCAGTATCTCAGGAACGCACTTCGTATCCTACCACAAAATGACCCCAAATCCGGCCTCCGCTTGCTGCCTTTTATTGGGAAAACAGTTCAAACAATACAGTATGTGTAAACATCTATATGCATGTGCAAGAACGTGTGTATGTGTATGTGAGAATGTGTGTATGTGTGTGTGTGTGTGTATGCATGTGAGAGTGTGTGTGTGTGTGTGTGTGTTTGAGTGAATGTGTGAGAATGTGTCTCTCTGTGTGCGTGACTTCTGTCGCGGTTCAAATTTTGAGGAAGAGACATACGACTGAAAGTCCATAGTGGGTCAACACAAATTATTTTATTAAAACACCTATATGTGGTGAAGATAGGCTCTGTAAGGTTCTTTTGATTTGGAAGGAAAAACAAGTGCAGACAGAGTCCTCGGAGGTGTCTAAAAAGTGATTTATTAAACACACACAGTTTACACAGTGTGGGAAGCACTACGGTCTTCGCCTCTCTGCTCGTTACAGAAAGCTTTATAGCCATTATGACGTCAAGACAATTCCTGGACCTCTTCTCAGAACAACAACACTTTCCCAGGCTTGAAACCAGATGTTTCCAATCATCGGTATTTGGCAGCATAAACAATTGTGTACACGAGTGTGCAGTTTTGTGAGAGTGTAGGTCCAGGCCAACGAAAGTTCGGTGTCCTTATCTGACTTGGGCTGCCTGGACCTACAGCTATGCTGGTGCTATGCATGATAGAGTATTATATCTAGAATGTGTTTTATTCTGCGTGCTCTGGAATACAAGGAATACAAGATCACTCAGCAAACACCGTTAGCAGATTTACTAAATGATAAATGATACATGATAATATTGATGATAAACTGATGATAAGTGATGCAGACTAATGAAGTAATGATGAAATAATGACCGTACATGTGAATAATAACACAGTGACAGTAAAATAACATTCCTTGACCTGACAACTCCTCCTCTTGGGCTCGCTTGCGAGGCCAAAACAAATAAACACGTTATAACACTTATCAACCCCAACACCCCCGTTATTTTCCAATTTTCCCACAGTTTCATGATCACTGTTCCCAGGCTCTTTTTACCTTTACTTTAAACTTCGTGATAAGAGTATAAAGTTATGAGTATAAAAGTATGCGATTAACGTACAAAACTATTACGATTCCTTTAATCTCTTAATTATTTTAGACTAGAGCCCTAGCCTATCAGGAGCCTGGAATGAATTGATGCTTGGCGCGTGACGCTCCTCTTCTTTCTTCGTCTCCCCAGGTAGACTGCTGGGGAGAACCGCTGCACAGGGGGAGAGGATTATTCTGCCTCTATGTTCCCCCCCGTGTTACTTTGGGTGGAGCTTATTTCGAGTAAGCTCTCATCCGCCACTGCACATTGAGACCAATGGAACCAGGACTCACCCTTTCCCTTCAACCGAACCGCGCTGGTGGTACGAGCCGTCACCTCGAATGGCCCCGTCCACCTCGGGTCTTTCCACTTTCGCTTGATGACCTTCAGCCACACCACCTTGGCGTCGGGGACGGACCTGTCCACCGCATTCACCCCCACTGCAACCTGTTGTGTGAAACTAGACACAAGAGCTTTTAATTCTTTCCAATATTCTGCATGCGTTCTGTTACTTTTTATACTCTCTTCAGCCGGGACTGCCGTCCAGGGACCTGGAAACTGTCGTCCTGTCAACAGCTCGTACGGCGTGAAGCCTGTGGATTGGTTAACACAGCATCTTATTATCATCAATGCAATTGGCAGGGCTGCAACCCAATTTAGCCCCGTCTGAGCACAAATTTTAGCTATTTTGTTTTTCAGGTTTAGATTCATCCTTTCTACTTTCCCTTGGGACTGAGGATGATACAACGTCCCAAATCGGTGCTGCAACCCCAGCTTCTGTTCTACTTCTGCCAAATCTTTATTTTTAAAATGAGTTCCATTGTCTGACCTAATTCTTTTGGGAAAACCATGCCGGGGGATGTAATGATTGATTAAATACTTAATCACACTTTTTGCATCCTCCCTCTTTGTTGGCCACGCTTCGGGCCATCCCGTCAGAGCATCCACACTTACCAGCAAATACCGGACTCCTCCTGGTCCCACGTCGATCATGTCAGTGAAATCAATGACAATCTCTTCACCTGGTCTTTCTGGAATGGGGAACTTACCTGCCTCTGGTTTAATCACTGGCTTTGGATCGTGCCTCCCACAGATCAGGCACGTCCTAGCTTTTTCCTTAATCATATCCCTCAAAAAGGGATGCCACCAATGGCACAGATGTCTCTCCATCTGGGCCACACCCACATGGCCAAGCCCATTTGCTTCTGCAATCTTCTGTTCCGCTAGGTTGGCAGTCAACACCGGTCGTCCGTCAGGTCCTCGCCAGAGATCTCCTTCTTCCCATGCTCCTCGACTCTTCCAGACCCCCTTCTCTTCCGGGGCCGCCTCCTCTTGGGCCTTCCTGGCCTCCTCCAACATGTTGACTCCTACTTCTTCCTCCACACTTATTTGTACCATCTGCCGTAGTGCTTTATAGCCTGCTGCCTCTTTCGCAGCTCGATCGGCTTCCTGATTTCCTCTGGCCACCATGCCAGTCCCCGAGGAGTGACCTTTACACTTTATGATACTCACCTCCTCTGGGTCTCCCCACTGAGACCTATACAAGAACGTTACACATTCTCTCTAAAACAATCTCCTGCCAACCTGTAAGCTTGTGTAAAAACATCAGTCAGCAGTTACATGTTAAGCTCATTTAACTCCCAGCTCCACCTGGAACCTGTATCCTGGAAAACAAATCTGTTAAATCAAACATCTTATTTACAACCAACTATAGATCATGAAAGTGATAAAGTATTCAGCACAACAGACAAGTATCATGTTCAGGATTTCCCAAATCATTACATCACTATTATTGCCGCAATTTATTTTATCCCGAATTTAATCAGTGACTTCCCTTAAGCAATGTCACTCCACTTGTTTTATCCCTATAAGCGCCATATTAAACTGTTCCATAGAAACTGCATCTCTTATTTGTTTTCTCATGTCACTTGTCTGTTTTCTACTGAATCCTCCGCATGCACTCTCAACCAAAGCAAAACAAACATTAGCAAACCACATTTGACCATCTCGGGTTAGGCGTCAGCCATCCACATTCCAGAGGTCCTGTAAAAACATTTCCTGTAAAAAGAATCACACTGTTTTCAAGACCGGATGTGTCTCCCCACAGTTTAATAGCATCACCCACTCATAACCTATAAACACAGTTTCCTCACACATAAGCCCAGAAATCCTGTAGTAGGAAAACATTATTAGAAAACATTAACCACTTGTCCAGTTATAAACCACATATTCAAAGCACATCAAGCACTGTCATGCTGTAGAGAAGAAAATGCAAATGTTAACGCTGCGCAGGTGTGTACACACTTTCTCACAGTTATCTCTGTGAGCAACCCAACACAAACCCCTGAACAACCACCCTAGTAGATTCACAAACACAGAAAGTAGCATTAAAAGTTAAATCGTCATGCAACCTCAGATGTCGCTGTCATCTTTCTGCTCCTGTAAAAAGAAACACACCTAAATTCATCCACCCTTTTGTCCTATCTAGGTGGAGGTTAACCTTGAGTCGTGGTCAAGTCTTGTCAGCTTTTACCAGTCAGTCCGTTTGTTTTATTTCCAGTCTTTCATCCATTCATTCATTCATTCATCCATTCTTTCTTTGCTGATAGTGGAAACCATCGCCGCATTTAGATTTCCGCCCTCAGCAAAATGAGCTCATTCATTTTTTATTTTCCATAGGAAAATAGTTCCTTAGGTGTTGGACTGGATTGATTTGCAACAATCCTTTAGACAGGGACTTACGACCTAATCAGATCCCTACAGGTAGCTTTCTCCTTGGCCAGTTGTAATCTGGAAAGCCCACCTTATATTTGCTCTCCCGAGAATTTGTCACTGCTGTTATTCACTGTTGCAGGCCTGCTTAGAACAAAAATGAGAAAAAAAAGAGCTGATTATTAGCTCATGAAAGCACCTGACAGGTTTTCTTTAAGTGCACTGTTACAAAAATAATGGGCCCCTCTCAGACATGTCCATGTGTCCTAAAACTCCCTCTATTAAAAACAAAAACAACAACAACCCGAACCTCACTGACAGAATCAACCCATCACCACAACCTCAACAACCTTAAACACACAAATATTGGCACCGCAATCCTGACACTCCCAGGTCAACTCACA